ACGTGCGTTTCTGCCACACAAAGTTGCGAGTTGCACAGCGACCGATCAACTGGATTTAATGTAGCATCATAGTTCTTCTAGTCCTCTTAGCTCCTGCAACCTAGTGCCTAATCTGACTTTTCTCAATCTAGCTCTTTTCCTTCTCTCTTCTACTTCTCTCAGTTGCCGCCGCAACTCATTATGAAGAGCTTCCGCTTGGAGGATCTCATAATCCTCAGGTGTGAGTGGCATCTGCTGGCTGACTTGTGAGCCAACAGATTGACTAACAGAACTCTGAGAGATACCTTGACTGACACCTGACGAAGAGGCCTGAGACAAGGCTTGTGACACTGAAGAGAAGGCAGCCATCACAACCTCAACCCGAACTCTAGCGTCCGCTAGTCTTGCTGCTGCAAGTGTCTGTTCAACATTGGTTGCCGCTGACCTAGCCCTCTCTAATATCGCCATTTCCCTGGCTTCCCTTCGCAGCCGCCTTTCCTCTCCCGGGCCTAACTCCAAGAAGGTAATCGGTTGATTGAGTGCAGTTCTACGAGTCATTCTAAGATGTTCCACTACCTTTCTCCTCCTCACTACCGCCTGCATCACTCATGAGCTACAATGTGTGTGATCTAAACTAGAGTCCACATTGAATCCTACCTCAGCATGACACACAACCGGGTATGAATAATCGACTAATTCCGGTCAATCTAGAGAGTAGTAGTCAAGCGGTAAAAAACAATCAATGTCAGGTCCTAGAGGTAAGTTCACTTCTATTTTTAGATTACTCTTACACAGAATGCAATGCAGCAAGGAAAGGAAGTAACCTATCTGCAACTGTCTGTCAATTGTTAACAAGTCCGTAACAACTAAATAATCAAAAATAAAAATAATCTACCTGTTGAGAATCTTGAGATGCATGCTGGATGGCAGTTTGTCTAATTAGTGCCACCGCGAACAGTTACCGAATCCGACCCTCCCCCTGTATCCCTCTTGAGTAGTCACTTTGTGTCAACGCCCTGAGCATCTGGTTGAGTAGCGTGTCTGAAGGTGTGCAATCCGGCCCACCCTTGTGGCCCAAGTCTACGCCGAAGCTGCCAGCCCCTGCACCTTATTTATCCTCGCATGCAACGAGCCTTACACCCGGTTTGATCTGGCTGATCAAGATGCAGTTTTAGGACAACCGCCACGGTCCTCAGGAATTTATTTAACACCGCAATCAGGACGACGATCACAACTAGAGTCAACACCGAGTCCCCGCCAGAAATATTTAAAGACGGTCTGGTAAGCGTCTGTCCAAAGGGCTGGCATGCCCTGCATGACCTCTATTGTGCAGCAGCAGAACCAAGGACTTGCGGCCAAGCATGCGTGTACTAGTCCCAGCGGGTTGGCATGGTGACCGTGACCAGAGTGCTTCGTCTAGGGCCCTTCAGAGGCATCACCCGTCTCCCACCAGCTTGCTGCCCAGGAAGAATGTCGACTCTCAAGGTTGAGCGCTCATGACACCTCACATTGAGAGGACTCTCAAGAACGAACTCACTTCGTCACGGTAAGAAGTCATGGAGAGGCTAGATAAGGAAGAGAGCAACGTACCTCATAATGCTGCCCCCAACCACAGATTTCTCACCAGCAACCTGATGTGCATTTATGATGACCGGTCTTTGCCTCGGCACAACCAACAACAGAATGTTGTTCCACCTCGGCTTAAATGCCACATCAGCGAGCTCTCATCATCGAGCGTACACCCCTAATGTCGCCACATAGCTTCCTGGCGCGCCCACACGACCCTGGGCCGCCTTACATTCAACGCCCAAGCCTTATCACTGCCCCACACTTCATGCGAAGCACCGAACTGTGATGACCCGTCCATACGTGGACTGAAACACACAACTGATTTCTGAGTTTTGCCCATAGACTTAATGCCCTGCTGAGTTTCCCGCTTGCTACTAAGTCTGTGTGTGCACGCTTGCTGGACTGCATGTCTGTCTGAGTGCTGGATGGCTTGAGTGTGTGTGCGACCAAGCCTGTCTGAGTGTTGGTTGGCTTGGGTGTGTGTGTGACCGTGCCTGTCTGAGTGCTGGTTGACATGAGTATGTGTGTGGCTGTTAGGGCACTTGCTCGTTCGTTGGGCCCTCAGGGCCAGTACTTACCTGTGGCCGTGACATTGAGGGGTTGCAGCGGGGAAAAACACTCAAGTAGCGGGTAGGCCGGTACCGCACCTGGAAGGGGTAGATGTGCAGGTACCGGAGGCCGAGCAGAAGAAGACAAAAGTGGCATTTTCAGAGGCCCAGTAGTTGTAGGTTAGGTCTAGGCGGATATCAGTCCAATCAGTCTGGGTCTAGGGCCTGTACGGGCAATATCAGAGTCTGCAATGATGTTTCCCTCCGAAAGGGAGGAGGTACCGGTTGCTTGGGAGGCCGAGTGGCCTGGAAGTCACCGCCCAAGAGGCAAAGCAGGCCACTATATCTTCTGGCCGGGTGGAGAGTCCGGCCTCTTTTTCGGTGTGCAAGTTTGGCGACACACTGGTGAAGCGCTGGCTGGAGCAGCGCTGCTGGGGAGGAAGGAGAAGGACATGAGGGAGGAATGAAACGGTTTTCACCTTTTAGCAGTAGCAGATGCAGTACCCAGGGTTCAATCCCTAGACCTCACCCTACCCATGTACAGTATCTGTGCAGACCCGAGAGTTGAACCTGTGACCTGTGTATTCGTAGTCAGTTGGTAGGTCTGGCATAGGTCCATAGGTAGCAAGGGTTCGGTCTGTAGATCTATACGGTAGAAGTCTTAGCGAGTTCCAGAAGTCTAGCTGTAGTCCTTCTAGAAGGTAGGCAAGTGGGCAAGTGGTCAAGTGGCGAGGGAAGTGGTGGACTAAACTGCAGTGCAATTGCAGTATGACGACGGTAGGATAGCAGTAAGTCCACAGTCAGTCAGCGGAAAGGTCCAGTCAGTCCCAGTCCGGTCCAGCAAGTACCACGGGGGACTGTGAGCACCATGGGCCGATGGCAAAGGGAAGACCAACGAGTTTCCGAAGTATAAAGCAAGAGGCAGCGCCCAGGCCTTCATTTATTCCTGCGTGAGCCATGCGGAAGTGCTGCCACAGCGACTTGTGCAAGGAGGTCTGCAGTGAGCCCAAAGGATGCAGTGGGCGAGTGTGGCATACTGCGTAGCCACACGGGCCCTGCAGGGCCCGTCCCGCACTTTCAGCCTAAAAGCCTAGAAAATAGGGCTTACAGGCCCTGGTCGTTTCAGCCTGAAACTGAAAACGAGGGCCTGCAGGCCCTATTCCGTTTTCAGCCTATTTCTGGGCCTTTCAGGCCCAGAGGCTTTTCAGCCTGAAACGGAGGGCCATTTTCAGGCCCTCATTGTTTCGACCAACCCTAAGACTCAGGCACAAAAACAGGGTTTTCGGAACAGGCTATCTTTAGCCTGTTCCCACGACTGCCTCAATCAGGAGCTGCAGCGGCAGCCCTGACTCCCTGCGGCATTGGCAAGAGCAGCCTCCTGGACTGCCTCGCCCTGCAGGCAGGAGGCAGGCCGAGTAGTACATAGGACTTTCCCATGCACTTCACGGTAGGTAATTGGACAGTAGGCACAAGTAGTCTTCAGGATTCGACCGCAGCACTCAGGAGGAGCGCTGCAGTAGTCTTCAGCGCTAGCAGTAGTCTTCAGCGCTGGGCGCCCATAGCTGTAGGTGTAGTCTTCAGCGCTGGGCGCTAGTAGGTGGTAGTAGTAGCATTGGAGGGAGATGGCTGGCRGAGGCCAGCGGTACTTACCTGTGGCGCCATAGCTCCAGCTCCATCTTCGAGGTACCTGCATCAAGGCGCCAACTTCACAGGTTAGTACTGGACACAGAGAGAGAGAGAGAGTTCTTCTTCTTCCTCTGCTAAGTCCACCATCTCTTCTCACCCTCTCACCACCTGACTTCTCAGACTACGACAGAGAGAGAAAGAGTTGTGACTTGAGACTTGACGACATTGGATCCAGACTCGACATTTGGGATTCAGACATTTTGACGAGGGACTATTTGGGCCTGTGCCGAAGACTTGGTGTTGACGACATTCCCATCTTCCCCTCCTCTTCGTCTAACCCCCTTCTTCTTCGTCTGTGTATGGTTGGGGCTGGCGCAGTCTTCCTGTGTGAAGCGCCAGACCCCTTTCACACCATGGAACGATGATGATGATGTATGTTCAGGGCTGCATTGCAATATTGATTGTTCGGATCATTGGTATCTAAGTCTTCCGCTACGTAACAAATATCTGAAAATTTCTGATAAATTGCATTTCGTTTTGTCTGAAAATTCCCGATAGTAGCATTTCGTTTCTCTGATATTTCGCATACATAGCTTAAATTTCTGATGTTAGTATTTCGTCCTCTAGGCATATTGGGATAACGATAGAAGTGGTCATATTCTCGGAAAATGGAATTATTCTTTTCTGAAAATCGAATTTCCATTCTATCTAGCAAATTTTTTTTGGAAACCGAAATCTTGCAAAGCCTACCAACATTTCGATAGGCACATTCGGAGGTTGCCATATTCTCAGAAACGGGATTTAGTTCTTTACTGAAAATCGCATCTTTATTCTATCTCGCAAATTTTTTTTTTCAAGATCGCATTTTGTGAGAGCCGAAACTTTGCCGAACCTAGCCTAGAGCTCGTTCATAGTACTCTTCTGACATTTCTTACTCATAACAGATTGACAGATATACAAAAAAAAAA